AGCTGCATCAGTCGCACCAGCAACAACAACATCGGCAACAACAACAACAGCCGCAGCAACAAACTCAGTCAATGGGGATCAGCTGGGACCATCCGATCTTCCGTCAACAGCATCAGCAAAGGACACAAGTACCGTCACATCAAGAGCATGATCATGGCATCTATTCCTCGTCAACTCCCCAGTCGTGGCAACAGAATTCACTACAACAACACCACCATCATCAACAACAACAACAAATACTTTCGCCAGCTCCACAAGGTCTTGGGGTGCCCACTCAGTACCATCAGGTTCATCGATATCCTCCAGGCCAGGTGACGTTTGATTCACGGTCTCTCCCTGCAACGGACAACCCTCCATATCAATCTTACCCATTCCCTCAGAACTTTTATTCTTCTCAGCATATGTCGCTTCCGGATGCCTTTCCGCAATCAAATTCACCGCAAGCCCCTCGATCGCAGACTTCCCAGCAAAATCATTACCAATCCGTCGCACATCAAACTCCTCTTGCGTCATACTCGCTTCCTGCCGGATACTCCGAAGGGAACTCGGTAGGAATACAAATTACTCATCATCTTAAGGACGTTTCACTGACATGCAGTAGATGAATTTCATCACCAATTATGCTGAGCCAGCTACGAACGTTACTGACGACCCCACCATCAATCCTCAGATTCTTAATCCCGCACAGCAGTCTTCTAATCAAAATTCTTCTCTCCAAAACCCTTTTCTGTACGTGAATTCAGCTGATTATGGCCGGCCCGATGATGGGAAGTAAGTTGTATACCCTCATAAATTCTTCAAGTAAAGACATCAACTTACAGTCGGTGCTAGGCTGTTTAACTTTTTCGAGAATGACTTGCAAGTGCCATCTGTTATGGGGCAGAGTACAAGTAATAGTCGACCTATTCCCGGTCAAAATGCTTTTGAAGGAACTTTTCAAGTCAACGGTATGTGGTCCGCGGGTTTCCTCTCCATCTGCCTTCATGGTAGCCTTATTGTACTAAATAGCTAATATCAATAATATCCAGGTCAAAATTCTGTAGACTCGACTTTGCAGTTAAAACCCACTGAACCGCCGAAGAAGAAAGCTCGCACGAAGACAGTGTCAAAGAAATCAACAACTCTTGCGAAGAAGTCTTCGGCGTCGGAAAGCGAGACTTCTGATGACTCCGACCTTGAAATTCAATTTCCCGAAGAGCCATCCCCCATACCAGCGGTGCGACCCAGTGAACCGGAGGCTGCTGTGGAATACGATACTCTTCAAGCCGTCTGGTCGCCACGCAATCGCAGACCCAATGCTGATAAGGTCAAAAATGCTTTAGTTGCATTTAAAGACGTTGTCAAACGTGTGAGGGATGCGTGGAAAGAAAGCAGCCAAGCGATGAAGATGGCAGAGAACAAAGATGAGAACGACAAAGCAGCCCAGCTCAAGAAGGATGTTGTCCTGCAACGTCGTCTGATGGATGTGGTTGTCAGTACCACTCTTGAAAAAGGCCACCCGGCAATCGTTGAGAAGTATGTCCTTTATCTTTTCCTTCTCTTGATCTTCTGGCATTTCGTCGTTATGGCCTTAGAAGTCAGAAACGAATCGAGAAATCTCTCCCCCGTAATCTATTAGCGTCGATGGTCAGGAAGCCTTCTTAGAAGATGATCTTTAGTACGAGCGATTAATCGCTCTGTGCCCGAGGACCAGAAGGATAAAATCCCTTTCTGTGGTTCTCAACTGGGCTCTTAATATCGATCTTGAGGAAGCGCTGAAATGCCAACGAACTAACCTTGACCCGCCAGAGTTGGTCCGATCTGTCGCATGTCCTTCGGATTCTTTCCAGATTTCTGGCATCATCATTTACGCATTTCCGGGTTCTGAATGGCTAACATGGGGTTTCAGGTTGGGAGAACATCCAATGGCGCTCGCTGCCACGTATTCCTTTCTTCTAGATCGACATCAGGCGTCCGACGTGGATGGGGCATTCACGGTTAATATACTCAAGGTACGTCTCCCATCTTTATTTAAGCATCCGGTTCGACATAGGGACTAAGAGCGTTTGAAACATAGTTACTCGCACGCTTTGGCACCGTGGACGAGGAGGTACTCCAAAAAACCAATATTGCCAAACTTCTACCCCGTTTCGTGAAGAAGGGGGGTCCCACTGTCAAGGAACTCTCTCAGAAGATCCTAGAGAATGCTGCTGCTTCAACGAAAAGAAAACAGGAGGCGACCAAGCCCGCAGCTAAAGAGGGGGAGGCGACCAAGAGCTCTGCCTCTGAACCAGCACATGGAAATAATCCCCGTTTCGAAATCGCTGGTTCGAAGAGGCCTCGGGAGGGAGAGACCAATGGCCAGGCTGCTTCGAAGCGGATGGTTGTAACATCCAATATCAAGCCTAGTGCAAAGGCGGGCAATGCTACCACTAATGGCCCGGTCAAACGCCCACAAGAGACAGTTCAGGAGAACAAATCTGCTGCAGCTGTCTCGCGTCCGAAGGCAAACATTGTCGCTCCCAAGCCTACAAGCCTCTTTGGCAGCTTGCTTTCTGCTTCCAAACGACCAGGCACGTCGAATGCGGAGCGCGCTGCCGCCGCCGCCGCTGCAGCGAAAACAAGGTACGCAGAATGCGAAGCTCCTGTATGTGGGACCTCACAAATGATGCTAACAATGATTAGCCCTCCGGCCGAAAAGAAAGAAACTCAGACGCCACCTCCTAGACCTACTTTCTCCTTTGGCGATATTATGGCGGATCTTAACAAGCAAAAGGACTCTGAATCAGTTGAGCCTGCTGAGGATCGACCCCCTGAATCAGAAGAAGACCGTCAGAAGCGACTTCGCAAGGAGGCTCGAAGGAAATTGCGCGTTACGTGGAAACCTGACGAGTCTCTTACGGAAGTCCGTCTCTTCACCCACGACCCTAACGAGGAGCTAGGACCAAGTGATCGATCGCAGGGAGAAATTGGTGACATCAAAGGAGAGGGTAGTGTCCTTAAACTGCACAGAGATCTTGAAGATTTGGAAGACGACGATGATGGCGTCATTCGTGAAGAGAATTTGATGAACTATACAGAGCCTTCGGGTAAGCCGGTATTGACGCAAGTTATGGGATGTTTGCTAACGGAATCTAGAAATTGACAAAGGCGATATGACATCTGACGATCGCTCCAGAAACTACATCAAACGAAGTGGCACGCAAGAGCCTTCTAGTCCCGAGAAGCATGCTCAGGATCATCGGGAAGCTACTACGCTCATGGTTTTCTACACGTCTCCTGCGGATATTCCTCCCTCGCCAAAGGAGCCGCCCCAGACCGACGCTGATGAACCTCTGACTGAAGTGACTTCTTTTGGCGAATTGCCGGATCACATCAAGGTAACACATCCAATTCTTCCTCGGCAACATTTTGTACGGGCTTCTGATATTCATGTTTCTAGGTTCGACAAGAGCGATATTACTCGGCGGTCAACCCGAAACCGGCCCCTGTTGCGGCTGCGCCGCCTATTGCTCAAACCAACCAATTCGACATCTCAAACTTGCTTAAAATCATCCAGAATGCATCGCAGCAACAGTCTACTCCGCCGCCACTCCCGCCGCCGCCTCAGCCTGCGTCACAGGCGCCCATGTCTGACCTGGAGCGGACCATCAGCATGTTCCGCCAGCAGCAGCCTCAAGTTCCACAAATTCCCCAGTTCCCATCCGTTTCTCAGGCACCGGCAACGCAGGGCCTCGATTTTCAGAAAATATTGGCTGTCATGAGTGCACAGAAACAGATGCCACCGGCGCCCATTGTACCCCAAGTCCCACCATCGCAACCGGCGATGGCGCCGAGTCTCGCTGCCATAATCTCACAATTCGCCAACCAAAACCAGCAGGCTGGTTCATCTCAACCTTCCGGTCAATACGAAGACCCGGAGCGCAAGCGTACGCGTGAGACGGATGGATCCGAAGAATCCGGTGATGATAGATTTGGCTACGCCAAGCGAAGCAAGTTCGGAGCACCAAACAAGAAGCACGTAAGTATCATGCCGAGACCTGATTTGCAGCAAATATATCGCTGACTCTGTAATAGCCAAAGGCTGGATTAGTCCCTTGCCGGTACTGGCGCGAAGGAAAGTGTCTCAAGGGCGACAACTGCACCTTCCGCCATGATCCTCTGAATTGATTCCGTTCCTTTGCTACTCTTATTTTATGATACCCTCCGGAAAGATCTATCTCACTGACGGCGCAGGGCCTTAATTCTTGCATCAGTTTCACCATCGTTCTGGTGTCTTTTTTATTTTACTATGGTTGCCTATTGACAAAATGGATGTGAGCCACGGCGTTCATTCTGCGGTGGTTTTTTTTTCCCACCTTCGCATTTGTCTGGTCAGCGTCATGTTTCTCATCTGAGCATCGCACATAGGGTCATGATATGGTCATGAGATGGAGTTTTGTGAACGCTTTTCTGATTCGTTTCGCGACTGGTTTCTACGGGCACCACCTCATATCTCTGGGTGGGTCTTTTTCAATTGTCCCATAAACACATAAACGTGTGATGTACGATAGATTATTCGCTCAATTTCCATCATGCTTCTCATATTAAGTTTGCATACTGAACACAAAGTAGAAGTACCTCTTCCGATGATGTGCCTTGATTATTTAGTGTCAACTGAGCTCTCGGATGAGAGGTCTGGCTTTCATATAATCGAGTAAAGTCCAATGTCTCGTCAGTACACCGCATCTGCAAATCAGCATCCTCTTATCGATAGCCTCGTCAACCACAACTTTCAGTGTTTCCACGCTTCAAAGTCTTGGCTAAAAGCGATGGAAAGGTCACCAAGCTCTCGAATATTAGCCTGCAATCACTTAATAGTCGTTTGCTGTCATGCGATATACATTGGTGGACCTACAAAGGGACTGTCCGAGGATGAATGGTGAGATGAGTCGAGTGGCTATTCCAAGCGACTGAGAATCCCATGTCCACCTTTACTACACTGTATAAGCTAACACTTTCGCGTGCTAACCATGACCACTATGGGTAGGCTGATTGAACCTTTCCAAAGGGGTGAAACGCCCACATTCACCACACATGTTCGGGCTGGTCTTCGGGCGTTGGCGGACGATCCGTATGGACTGCTGGTGTTTTCGGGGTAAGCCTTCCCTTTTGTTAGAGTGCTAGTAGCTCATACCGGTGGATCTGTAGTAGCTGATTCTTTTCAAGAGGTCCAACAAAGAAAGACAGAACGGACATAGCAGAAGGCGCCTCATATCATGTGAGACTATATGATCCTTCCCAGCGCGAAGCGACATGAATTGACATCCTCCGACAGAATTTGGCCAAAGACAATGATTACTTCTCTTATTCTTCCGGGATAGATCCTGACCGAGTCATAGCCGAAACCAACGCTACAGACTCCTATCAGAATGTGCTTTTCTCTCTGCTCAGATTCAGATCGTACATCGGAACGTTTCCGAGAAAAATCACTGTCGTTACGCACGAGTTCAAGCGCCAGCGGTTCATGGACTGTCATTTTCCGGCTCTCGGGTTGAGGACGTCCTTCAGTGAGAGTGGGGGACAAGCTTCGTGCTCTGGAACTGTCGTTGGGATCAATCCTCCGGAAGAAGTAACGCCCCTGGCATCGTTGATATCAGGGGAAGAGAAGAGTGGAATCGGTTTGTGGAGACGGGATCCGTATGGTGTCGGCGAGGAGCTGGCAGCGAAGAGGGTCAAACGAGGATGGAAGCCTGGCATGGAAGACGAACTATTTGTTGATATGGAGTTGGAGGAAGTCGTTGAGGAGCTTATTCGTTGGCATGGCGGAGTGAACGGCAAAGAGTTGTTTCCGAAGCTGGATCAGCTACCTTGGTATTGAGCGTATTGAGCGTCATCTGTACTTCACATGAAATGTAGATATTATGTGCATTCACTACAGTTTTCCAAAGGACATTCCACATCGTTTTCGCATTAAAGAAAGAAGATATCGAAAGCCATCACAAAGCGCAGGTAATCCAGCTGTGTAACTCCCTTTCCTGAACGCCAACCTGTAAGAACGATTTACCCAAATTTGGACAATAAGCGGTCATTCAGCTAGGCGATAGCTGACCAGGGTCTCCACTCGGTGGTTATTCGTACTGAAGCTTCGAAGCTGCACTTTCTCGGCATTCTTAATCTCTTTGGCATCGCTGTCGCCCCATTCGACGGGCACCTCCGAGTCCGCGTCGGCGTACACGAGGACGTTGAATGTGCAGTCTCCGTCCAGGACTGGGAGGAAAGTGACAGAGGCTGTAATTTGGCGGAAGATAGCCTGTATCTCTTCCTGGATTTCTTTCTCTGTCTTTTCAACCGCGGTCGAATCCTGCATCTCCGTGTCTCTGTTGTACAAGACAAGTCCTCATTAGTGTCGCTGGTGTTGGAATTGGGAGGAAAGGCAGACATACCCCGGAGTGACATTCTCCTTATCAGCAGATTTTCGAGAGGTTTGGCTCTTGGTATGCTTTCCAAATATTTGGACCTGATAATAATCAGACTCCAATCAGCCTTTGCGCGCATCCATTCAGTGAAGAGGCTGTGTTACGTCAAACTGCCATCTTTCGACGTGTTCCCCAGTCTCCTTATCTGTGATCACCACAACAAGTTTCGATATCTTGCCTCCAAGCATCCACTTGTTTAACTGCGACATAATCTTCTTGATGTAGGCCTTGACCTGGTCGTCGGCGGTAACTGGACTCGATCAGCGAGAGTTGTGGGTAGCGAGACAATAGACCAACCGAGCATATTGAGACCATATTTCTTAACACTGTATCGGCATTAGATTCAATTATCTACCGCTATCGTGGGCTGGCGTAAACTGACGTTGTAAAGTCTTCTGGTGGATATACCCCGCGTTGAAACCTAGGAGCCAAAGCGATGAGTATGCGTTGCACCCATCCTCTAGTGCACGTCAACATACAGGATGGAGTTTATCGAGTATTCAAACTAAATCTTGTCAACTAGTGTCCCCCATCCAGAACCCCTATGGATCGATGGAATTGACTCACGAATTCTGCCACGAGCTTCGCTGAGCCTGTCATAAATGGGTGTGGTGAGCTTCAAGAATCAATCAACAAACGCCAAATTCGAGTCTCACCTTTGATGGAGAGCTTGTGCACCTTGGATTTATCTTTCGTTGCTGACATTTTCAGCGTATTTTGGCCAAACTCGGGGTTGTAGATGGGATGTTTGCTCGTTCGTGGGTCTCTTACTGGTCAAAAAGAGGCAGCTTTTGTTTACCTCGATAGTCACCGCAGCAATCCGTTGTTCCACCGCCCGCGGCTCAGCACTTTTTCTCCGCAGCAAGTGATTCGGTGCCGCACTTTTTTTTCTCGGAATCGGCAGTCGACAACTAGAATCCTCATCTCAAAAGGCATTCTATTCCCATGCCATTGCAGTACTCCAGATGCGAGGATGCCTGCAGTTAGCCAGATGGCTGAGCGTTGCACCGAAAGGCACAGCTGCAAGCCTGACCAGGGCGCCATTCGTCCTTGCTAACGCTCCCCGATTTTTCACCAGCTCCGCTTCTCGCGCCGGATCGAGATCAACCGCTACCAAGCCGGTATCCGACCTTGAGAACAGAATAGCAGCGATTCCAATCGAGCGATACCGGAACTTTTGTATCGTCGCCCATGTCGACCATGGCAAAAGCACACTTTCCGACCGCCTGCTCGAACTCACAGGGACGATTGCGCCCGGCTCGAACAAACAAGTCTTGGACAAACTTGACGTGGAGCGGGAACGTGGCATCACCGTGAAGGCGCAAACCTGTTCGATGATATACAATCACAATGGTGAAGACTATTTATTGCACCTGGTTGATACTCCAGGCCATGTGGACTTCCGTGCAGAGGTATCGCGCAGTTATGCTAGTTGCGGAGGTGCATTGCTCCTGGTCGACGCCAGTCAAGGAATCCAGGCGCAGACTGTTGCGAACTTTTACCTCGCTTTTGCGCAGGGCTTGGAATTGATTCCAGTCATCAACAAGGTAGATTTGCCGTCCGCTGAACCAGAGCGGGCTCTTGAGCAGATGAAGAATTCCTTCGAGCTCGACACCGAGAACGCAGTGATGGTTTCAGCCAAGACGGGACTCAATGTTGAAAAATTACTTCCGACAGTTATTGAAAAGATTCCAGCGTATGCTATTTCCCTGTTTATCTTCATAAGCTGCTTCCGCTGCTGACTCTCAACAGCCCCATCGGCGATTGCAAGAAGCCCCTGCGAATGTTACTCGTCGACTCCTGGTACGATTCCTACAAAGGCGTAATCTGTCTGGTCCGTATTTTCGACGGTGAAATTCGAGCGGGTCAGCAGGTCGTGTCGTTTGCGACAGGACTCAAGTACTACGTTGGCGAGGTTGGCATCATGTATCCAAACGAAACACCACAGAGCGTGCTCCGTGCAGGCCAAGTCGGATACATCTATTTCAATCCTGGTATGAAACGAAGCAAAGAAGCGAAGATTGGTGACACATTTACAAGGGTCGGCTTCGAGAAAGCTGTTGAGCCGCTTCCGGGCTTTGAGGAGCCCAAGTCAATGGTTTTTGTGGCGGCTTACCCGGTGGATGCAGACCACTTTGAGCACTTGGAAGACAGTATCAACCAGCTCGTGCTCAACGACAGGAGTATCACGGTGCAGAAGGAGTCGTCAGAGGCTCTTGGCGCAGGCTTCAGACTGGGATTTCTAGGCACACTGCACTGTTCTGTCTTTGAGGATCGCTTACGTCAGGAGCACGGTGCTAGCATCATCATCACACCTCCATCAGTACCTGTCAAGATCATTTGGAAGGACGGAAAAGAAGAGATCATTACCAGCCCTGCCAAATTCCCGGAAGACGAAGAAGTGCGCTCCAAGGTGGCTGAGATTCAAGAGCCCTACGTCCAGGCTACATTGACCTTCCCCGAGGAGTACCTCGGCAAGGTCATTGAACTTTGTGAGGCAAACCGAGGTGAGCAGAAGAGTTTAGAGTATTTCACAGCGACGCAGGTTATACTTAAGTATGAGCTGCCTCTTGCTCAACTGGTCGATGACTTTTTCGGGAAGCTCAAGGGGTCCACCAAAGGCTACGCAAGCCTGGACTATGAGGAATCCGCTTGGCAAACAGGGAACATCGTCAAGCTACAACTCTTGGTTAATAAGGCGCCTGTCGATGCTGTTGCTCGCATCGTCCACTTGGGTCAAGTGGAAAGACTCGGACGACAATGGGTGACAAAATTCAAGGAGCATGTCGATCGACAACTGTTCGAGGTCGTGATCCAGGCTGCTGTCGGTAAAAAGATCATCGCCCGAGAAACTGTCAAACCCTACCGAAAAGACGTCTTGGCCAAGCTCCATGCTAGTGATGTCAGTCGGCGCCGAAAACTGCTGGAGAAGCAGAAAGAAGGACGAAAGAGACTCAGGGCTGTTGGAAACGTGGTGATTGAGCACAAGGCGTTCCAGGCTTTCCTCGCCAAATAAACGACGTGAAATGCTTCCGCATCTGTATAATAGTATCATCCTGTTTATGTTGTATATCTATTTATATTTATCGTTCAATATACCCCTGTCTATATCTACTGCGCATTTACCGTATCAGCAAACTATCAATATCTCCATGTTGGATGAAGTTCTGGATGTTGATTGGTCGGAACCTTGAGGGGTACGGCGGACTATAGCTACAATGTGGACTTTTGGAGTTTTTTACTGTTCACTGCCTGTATTACATATTGCCACTACCTCCACAGATAGCAGCATATACTAAGGATATTAATACCCATAGTATT